ACCTTTAAAGTCTTTCTCTAGACACGAAATTAATTTCCTCCCCGCACTGGCAAAAAAACACCTCACTTCCACCTCCCCCTTCCCTGCTTTAGCACGCTCAAGCGCTCTCGGCAAAAGGTTCAAGTCATGCTGGTGAAACGTTCGGAGAAATGGGACCAACGATTTCCGGGGAATTTTTAAAGAGGCCACCATGGCTAGCCCTTCATTGATGTAAATGCGGGCAGTGCGAGCCGCGGCCCACCTACCCAACACTATGATCCTGTCTAAGGATCCGTGACGCCCAAACCAACAGGTCGCCCCACCCCTACGAAGACTGTAAGGGCGGAACTCGAATTGCTCTAAATGCAACGCCTTCACACACTCAGAGAATTTCTTTCGCCATTGGTGCGGTGCAGGGGTAAGGGGGCAGCGCGAGGAGGATGCATTCTTCCATGCCCAAAGCCACTGAAGGGCACTTGTCACAGAAATGGTAACACTCTCAGAAGCGCCAGCTCGCTTTCCTGACTTTGTCAGGCCCAACGAAATTACCGCAGGTTTATCGGGAGATGTCATCAAAATATGGTGATTGCATAATCCAAGAATCTCCCCCGTACGCAGCAGTCCGTAAAATCCTAACAACAGGCTCAAGCCGAAGGCGTACTCTTCATGGAAAAGGCACCAGCCCAGCATTGCCTGCAGGCACTCTTCCGGGAGCGGGGGTGCACGACTGGGTATTTCATTGACGTGCCACGTCTTCAGGAGCCTCCATGTGACCTGAAGTTGCCCTTTCAAGCGTGGTTCTGTGTCCTGAAAACCCGCGACCGTGTCACTTGCCAAGGCACGCCCCTCTCCCTCACTCCATAAGTGTTCAACGTAGTCGGCCAGCATATCATCGAAAGCCGAAAACTTGGTGGGAATACTCAGGCCGTTGGTGTGAGCGTAGTCATAGAACTTTTGCTTTGCGAGGCTGTATCGTTTCCTGGTCTGGGGTTGTACTGTGAGTTCACGCAGGCTTCCCAATGCTCGTCTGTTTTTCGCTCGTTCTTCCTTGCTATGGCCCTCCAAGTGCTGCTTTACTTTCCCCATTTTCGCTGTAGCGGCCGCCGGCTAGGCCGGTCGGCGGGGTTTTGAGCTGTGTGCACGTATCCCCAGATGGGGTGGAGGTCCGCAGCAAGGATGAGCGAGTTGATCCGCATCAGCACATGTCTCAACTTTCTAGACGAGCTCCGACCACGCGACAAACTATGCAAGCATACCAGACTGTCCGTCAAATGTAGGAAACGTTTGCTGTGTCCACCTCGCCGGACCACCAACCACCTCAATGTAGTAAGGATAGCCCGAAGTTCAAGCACGTTGATATGTTCCCCTGAATGTCGCCAATGCCAACCGGTGACCTCACGCCACCGCCACAACTTTGCGGGCACGCTCGAACGCAATCTGTGGAACTTGACCTGGGGCTCACTGACAGCCGTGACCATGAGATCTTCACCTTTCATGGACACCAGCCCAAGCAACTTCAACAACAGCGGTTTCTCATGCGACTCCACAAGCGTCTTGTTCGAGGACAAGGGCGGCCGAAGCAGAATACCTTGTAACGTGCCACTGCGGCCTGGTGTCAAGCGATCCACGATCTGCTGGAGGTTGTGCCGTCGACAGAAACCAAGGGGTCCAAGGAGTTGTTCCAAGAGCCAAGTGATCACTCCCACATGCCAGGAGTTGCCTATCAACGACAGTCGAGTATCTTCCCATAGGGCTCCAGTCTGTTGGTTCTTCGGGAGGCAAGGTCGAGTATATCCAACCGGTATGCACATGATGGCCTCCCTCTCGTGGACATTCGGTCTTCGTGCCGCACCTTTCCGGGTCCAAAGGAGGTTGTGATCCCGATACTGGTACGGGGGAAAGCGGTAGCCATCATCTTCCCACCGCTGTCGCTCATGTGGCGCACACCGTCCCAGTCCAGCTGGCCGGAACCCCGGCACCTCACGCGGACGCGAGGTTGTAAAGGTTGGCAGACGGTAGCCCTCCGTGACAAACCATCCCTGCTCCAAGAAGGCCTGCTCCTCCACCTGGGCCTTCAGTTCAACCAACCCACAACCGGTCCACTCCGAATCCACCACCACGGGAGGGGTAACGGTGACGCCCTCTCCCTCTGACAAGTCCCAATCCACCCAGTATAGGCGAGGACGATGACACAGACTAATGCTGCCAGAGTCAATCTTGTATGGTTGCAACCCCACTGCGGCGCTCATAATGCGGCGATCTTCCTCTCCCATAGAGGCGACTGATTCCATCAACAATCTCACCTGGGCCCATGGAAAGTGGATCTTGAAGAGCTCCTTGATACGGGGGACTTCCTGGAAGAGGCAGCTTCGAGCATCTCGCAAGGCTCCCTTCTTTGAGGCGTTGAGCCCGCTCACGCCTTGACAAGGCGGTCCCGCACCTATCAGGATGAGAGACACGGATGGGAATCGCATTGCCAAGCCTTTGACCATCTTGTCGTCCATTGTCGTGACGTCATCATGAAATATGGTATCTGGGAAGAAAGCTTCAACGACGCGACGACCTGTTGGCTCCTTCTCAACGCTCAGGTGGCCGGCCACTCCAACTCCCAGGCTATCGACTGCCAGTCTCAACGCCCCCAAGCCATCAAACAGTCCCACAGTCAACACTTGCAGAACCTCTCCCTCAAGCGGGAGATCACCACGACTCTCCGTGTTCAAAGCCGTCATGCCATACCCTGTCAAGCCTTCGCTCACACACACTCCTCCGCCGGACGTGGATGCATCACTGCACGTCACGTGGTCCATGAAAGGACACCGGAAGTCAATCTGTGCCAGAGGGGTCAACAAAGTGAAGATCATCAACTCTCTCTGGACTCCCACGGGTACCGGGAGCCGGACAACGGGCGGCAGGTGCTTCAGCTTCTCCATGAACCTCCATACCTCATTCAGAATACCCAATAAAGGCCTCCGGAACATGGTGAAGTACACGAAACCCCCACACACGACTTGAAGCTCCTTTAGAGTACAGCTGCCTCTCT